CATCATTTGGCAGGGCATCTTCAATCAACTTCAACAAAGCAAAGTCAGATTTGGGGATCACCACTTTAAATTTCAGTCTTTTATTTTCCAGTTTATTGTCTGTACCATACAGTGTTTAGAGATTTCTAATCTCAGGCACTAATTAATCAAGTTTAAAGATATTTTCTATATCTTTGAATTTTACTTTATTTTTGTTGAAAAATTACATCAACAAGTATTATATAAAATTTTATTATCTATAAAATAATATCTATATTGCATATATTTTATTGAGATATAATACTAAAAATATTTAAATGCTAACAATACTATTTATATAAAAATAATAAAATATTATAATAATCTATTATTAATAAGTTATTAATCTACACTACCTAGAATACAATCTGCTTAACCAAAAGGGTCATTCCTGCTGGGACCGAAGGATTATTAAATTATACCCCCTCCGTCCCTGATCAAATGGCTCTTTGGAGTTTTGTAATAGATTAATAAATAATAATATTTTATGAGTTAGTAGAAGTGTGTAAGAGTTTTAAACATTTTTTGTCATTTGATTTTGTATATAAAGTACTTTTATGTTTAAAAGTTAAGGGTATGTTTGTACCTTGAATAAAAGTTAGTGTATTTTGGTTTTTTTTTTTTTTTTTTTCATAGGGGGAATTTCATGCAATATTTTTTAAAGTATAAGAAACATCATGCAATTTTTCAAGGGCAAAATAGCAAAAAAAAAAAATCATTTGTGGTTTTCCGAAATTGCTGAAAACTCCTTGTGATTCTAAAACTCCAAAAAAATCTACCTGTGGTTTCCAAAATGTTGCAAAAAAATCTCTTCTCTGTTAGATTTAACGGGGGTTGTACGCCTGAAATGTAATTTTTGGTCACAAAGAATTACTAAAATATCCTAATAACTACTTTTTACAGCGTCGTCTTCTTCTCCATTCTTCTTCCTCCTTATTCTTCTTCTTCATTTTAGAATTTAATCTCAATTTATTTATTTTTTCATTTTAAATCCGCTAAACACAATCAAATTTGAAATCGATCCCAAATTTATACAATTAATCAACCGGACATGAAAATGGAAACGAGAATGTGTAAGTTTTCTTCTTCTATTCTATCAAACCCAGAAATATTTCTTCTTCTATTTTACCAAATTTAGAAATTTAAAAAATCAATTTGACATCAAGATTTGAATTCAACGTAAGAAGAAAAGAAGAACCTGCTATCGGCTAAGAAGGAATTGGGGAGAAAAAATAAAGAAAAAAAAATTGGGAAAAAAAGAGATAGAAAAAAAATAAAATTGAAGAAAAAAAAAAGAAAAAAAATACTTGATGTCCAGCCTCTTCCTCTTCTTCTTCTCCTCTCTTCTTTTTTCTATTTATCTTTTTCTTTCTTCTTTCTTGCTACAGCTGCTTCTGTCCGTTGTCTTTTTTTTTTTTTTTCTCTTCTTATTCTTTTTCAATTCTTAATTCTTCAAAGAAGAATTTGAGATGAAGAAGAAAAAGGAAAATTGGGAGAAAAAAAATAAAATAAAGAATGGATGGAACGGCCGTGAAAAAAATTGGAAAAGATGAAGAAAAAAATTGAGGAAAAAGACGTGTGAAGAAGAATTTGGGGAAGAAAGATGGAGGAAATAAGTTGAGGAGAAGAAAAGAAGAAAGAACAGAAGAATAACGAATACGAGAGAGAGAAATAAATTAAAAAATATATAAATAAGTGTATAACTGTTAAATCTCATAAAATTTAACGTTTGTTAGTCAAATTTAAAGAGGGGGAGAGTGTGCAATATTTTGGAAAGCACAAGTACATTTTTTTTGGAATTTTAGGACTACGAGGGGTTTTTAGCGAATTCGTAAAATCACATGGTTTTTTTTTTTTTCTATTTTGCCTTTTTTTTAAGTAAAGTGAAATTTACACTGAGTTTTGAAAACATTTCTGAAAGTATAAGGAAGCTCCACGCAATTTTTAAAATAAATTGGAGATTTACGCTAAATTTTGAAACCAATAATATGAAACAATACTTAAAACAATACGCTAAAATAAAATAAGATTCATGCTTGTTCTTTTATGATTTTAAATTACTCTGCTATGAAACAATAGTCTCATTTTGTTATTTTCGTCCGTCCTAAAACAATAGTCTCATTTCCATTTTTGGTAACTACCTCCCCACATTTTTATAAAATATTATATAAAGTAAGAATATTTTGGTTTTTTAAAAACATTTGGTATTTTAAAAACACTTTTACATCTACTATCAATATAATACTATTATTCTTTAATTCTTGTGTCCATTTCAAATGTTTCTATTGTTTTGGAAGAATAGAGTATTATTTATTCCACATCATTTTCAATAAAAATATACAAATTTTATTTTCTTTTATAAACTATAATATTAAAATATTATTTAACCAAAAATTCAAATCTATTACCCTATTTCAAATTAATTTCAAACCATGAGTGACGAGTAAACAAAAGTTTATATTGTAAATAACAATTATTTTTTCATCCATTTAGTTTCAACAACTAGTTATAATAATTGTGTTATTGCCATTACACCTTACTTACATAAAAAATTTAAAATATTTATTTTTGTATTTATATACTCATTTTGTTCCAATATAATTGAATCATTTAATCAGTGATACAATATTTAAAGTAATAATATTTAATTAGTTAATAATAGCAAATTATGATATTATTTATTATTTTGATGTAATTAATAATATTTGTAATTTTAACATAAGTTTAATATATGATTAAAAATTTTAAAATATGTATTTAAATATTTAAAAAATATATCACAAAAAATATATGCAATATGAATATCTATCATTTCATAGAGAATATAATTTTCTATAATACAAGTAATAAAAAAATATTTGTATTTACTTATAATTAATATAAACTAACTTTATGGAAGGAAAATAGTTTTAAATCTAAATAAAATACTCCCTTCATCCCTAATTAAAGAGATCATTTGAGGTTTTGTAGTTAATAAAAAAAAATAATAGTATTTTATTAATTAATGAAAGTGTGTAAGAATTTTTGACATTTTCGCCATTTTATTTTATGTATAAAGTAATTTTATATGTAATAGCATGTTTGTAATTTTAATAAGAAATTAAACGTATCTTGGTATTAGTATAATTATTTTTTCTAAAATATAAAAGAAATACTTTGAAATCGAACCGACGAAAATGGTAAAAACATATTTTGAATTAGGATGGAAGGGATATTTATTTTTTTGAAGATATATAGCAATAAAGAGTTTTAAATAGGTTTTACATAATTTTATATAGTTAATTAAATTGATTTATATTTGTTAAATATGTTCTAATTTAGTAAATTTTACTCAAAATAAAAAAATGTACCAATTGTCGGACCGAGGGAGTATATGATTAATTATAAATTAATTTTAATACAAACTAATTATTTTTCTCAATATAAAAAGTTAAAAAAAAAAAAAAAAAAGAAAAGGAGCTATAGATTCGAAATTAACATCAAAGGCTTTTAAAAAAGAAATCCACATAAAGACATTTTAATTGTGGCTGCTGGGATTCGAGCCCAGGTCTCCACGGCCACAACGTGGAATTCTCACCACTAAACTACAGCCACATTATGATATATGTTTTGAGCTTAATATATTAATAACATAATCTTAAGGAGTAGTATGGTGTGATATAAATATGTGTTAGATGTGATGTTTTGAATGTAAAATTAATTTTTGAATAATATAGAAAATAAAAAATAAATGTTTGATTCGATATATTTTTTTTAATTAAATTTTGAATAAATAATGAATTTTTGTCAAAAATCTCTTAAACAAACATGCTCTAAATATAATAATCATATTCATATTTAGGTATGGAGAAATTTACCGAACATACCGAAATACCGTTATTGTACCATATCATGTCGAAAATACCGAAAATTTTGGTATACCGAAAATTTCGGTACGGTATGAATACCGTACCGAAGTTTTCGGTACAATATCGGTATGAATTTTCGGAAAGTTCGGTATTTCGGTATGATACCGAACCAATATTATTTTTCTTAAATAATTTAATTATTAATATAAATAACAATTATTAATATTTTTTTTAAATCATAACAAAAAATATGTAAACTATTGAAAATTTATTGATTTTTTTCATAATATTTTTGTGGTGGAGAATAGTGATATTTATTAATTTTTTTAATTATTTTAAAATTAAAAATTATATTTTCGGTATAATCGGTATATACCGATATCGTATCGAAATTGAAATTTTTTGGTATAAACGATATATACCGATACCGTATTAAAAATTTTGGTATATCGAAATTCGATATATTTAAAGTTTTGGTATATATTTTAGTGAGACAGTTGCATTGCATAGATGGCAAATAAGATTGCTTTTCTTGATGACTCACCTAATTTGATGAAGAAATAGGACCTGCCAATTCCATCCATCCCTCCTTAGTATAATTAATATTAATATTAATACTTCCTCTGTTCTATAACTATAGTCTGAGTTGGATTGTGTTTGGCATGAAATTTAAGGAATATTGATATTATATTGGTAGTGGGTAAAAAATACGGATAAGAGATTTTTTTTATCCTTGTGAGTGTATTAGTGTAAAAAAAATAGTGGCAATTGTGTAATAATAGTGAAAAAGTAAAGGTAGTTTTATAGTGATATAATTATTTATACAAATAAAACTATTATTTTGGGATTGATAAAAATGATAAATAGGACTATTGTATTGAGACGATGAGAATATTTAATAGTATATTATATTATATATTTGGATGGAAGATGGGGTTGGGTTTTGCTTGTGGGAGTTGGAAGCGTATCTTAGTTAATTCCTTCTCCCATGGCTTGGCTTTGTCTTTTGGCCTTGGCTTCAAAGCAAGGTCATCTATGTCCTAATAATGCCATTAAGTGTATGATGATGATTTACTATATAAATATATATATAGATATTTTGTACAGGTATGTTTTTTCTTTTGATGAGTTTGGTATGAAAATAATATTTGATGTGATGTTTTGCGAGAAGAAAAAATATATTTTTTTCGAGGGACGCAAAGTCCAAATAGTAAAATTTTGAAAAAATTGAGTAAAGAAACGTAGGCTACACATGTAATGAGTAAGTAGTATCTGTGATGATATTATCCTGGTGTTTCTTGCATTGCAGGCTGTGGATTGAGATCTAGTGGAGTCACCTTTCCATCCAAGAATTGGTATATGATTCAATCATTTCATCTTTGATCGTCCAACTTTCCTTAAAATCTCTCATTGCTCATCTTTTATTCAATGGCTTCATCATAACATTGTGTGATCTTACTGTGTGAATATAATTGGTAGAGCTCTTTAGCTTCACATCTTTATCTTTCTATTTTTGTTTCTGTTAAAGGAATTCTTCTTCTTTTCTGATTGCCTAGGCTGAGACAAACTGCACCATGGTTCTCCCAGGTATCTTGTTTATATATCTACATACAAGATTGATTGCATTGTTTGAAAATATAAAATCTTACAAAAGCTATCTATCTGCACAGAGCTGTTAAATGAACCGAGCCGAGAAATTCGACTTAGTTAAAGCTCGAGTCGAACCGATCAGCATAAATATGCTCATTTGGTTAACGAATGAGCCTGAGCTTTGTTCGCTAAAATAATATTTTTATTATAAATATTATATATGCATATAAATTTATAATTTATAAATAAATAAAATATCAATTTAAAATAAATAAAATAATTTTAATTTTTCTTTATCGAGCCTGAACTAGTCTAACACAAACCACAAGCTTAAACAATAAAAATTCTTAACGACCAGGGCTCGAATACTATCGCAAACATTAAAGAAGGAACACTTAAAATTCGGCTTAACGGCTCTAACTCTAAATTGTGCATAGTTAACTGCAAATTATTAGTTCAATATCGAACTGCTGAAACAACAAAAAACCTAAATTCAAAACCATATCTGCTAGAACTACAGACATCAAATCAGTCCAACAATTCTATATTACTCTTCAGGGTACTGCTCAATGAACTGCTTCACTGGGAGAAGAAACAAGAAAACAATCACCACCAACAAAGACGACACACCAGCCATCGCCATAGCCAAAAGATGGAAGATCCTCAGCGGCTCAACCAACTGGGAAACCCTACTAGATCCTCTCGACCAAAACCTTCGCCGCTACATAATTCACTACGGCGAAAGAGCTCAGGCAGCCTACGACGCATTCAACAACGACAAGGCGTCCAAATTCGCCGGGAGCTGCCGATACAAAAAACAAGAACTGTTCGAAAAGGTTGGGATCAAGATGGCGAATCCGTTCGACTACTGCGTGACCAAATATCTTTACGCGACCTCTTCAGCTCCCGTTCCCGACGCCTTTATTTTGAGGTCGTGGTCGAGGGAAGCGTGGAGCAGGGAATCGAACTGGATTGGGTACGTGGCGGTGGCGACGGATGAAGGTAGGTTGGCGTTAGGGCGGCGGGATGTGCTGATTGTTTGGCGAGGGACGGTTCGGACGCTGGAGTGGATGGATGATTTCGAGTTTGCGGCAGTTTCTGCGGCGGAGATGTTGGAAGGGAATGATGATGAGGTGAAGGTGCATCTGGGCTGGTACTCTATCTACACGTCGGATGATCCACGGTCGCGGTTTAACAAGACGAGTGCAAGATACCAGGTGAAGTTCTCAAACTTTTGATTTTATTTATTGTATTAGTTAATATATATATATATATATATTAAATTTAATAAATTGGGCCGGCCCGGTTTGACATTTATGGGCTTAACACAGCTCGGTTCATTGGCGTGTCGGTCAAGCACGGTCCAAATTTTTCGAACCTATTTTTTAAGAATCAAGTACCTTTTTCGTTTTTCGTTTTTTTTTTGTGTCGAATTTGAATTAAATTTTTGGACCGCGCTTATTTTTGCTCCCAGCCATATTACTTTTTAACTTTTTAAAATATATATTTTTGCCTTTTATATTACTTTTTCAAAAAACCATATTACTTTTTATCTTTTTAAACTTTTTTTCATTTTTCTTACTATAAAAGGCAAAAAAATATCTGGCACTTCAAAATTCGTATCCAAATCAAATGAAGTGATAGTTATATGCGTCTCAATCCAAATGGCCTTTTTGGTTTTGTAGTAGATTAAAAAATAATGATATTTTATTAGTTAGTGGAAGTGTTAAAAGATTTTTGACATTTTGTAATTTGATTTTATGTAAAAAGTAATTGTATAAGTAATGGTGTATTTGTAATTTAGGTAAAAATTAAGAGTAGTTTTATATTTGTATATAATTACTTTTATTAAAATAAAAAAAATACTTTGAAGTGTGAGACAAACAAAAATGACAAAAAATAGTATATTGAGTTGGGACATATGAAATATTATATTCTGGTATTTTGTAAATATAATTTTTATAGTATATCTACTTCTAGCTCTAAGAAAAGAAAACAAAAAAATTGTACAAAGCAATGAACATACAATAGAAGAAATATTCATATAAGAGTAACAATAGGGATGGTGAAAATAAGAACGATAATTATATATATTTAATATTTTATTGGGTTAAATGATAATTTATAAATTAATTTATTCAATTTTTTTGATTAAGGATTTTCGTTCCAACTTAAAATTAATTTTTAATAGACGAAGTTGTCCTTTAATCTTATACTAACGGTGGTATTCAATACTCCCTCCGTCCAAACAATAAGTATATATTTACTTTTGGCGTAAAGTTTAAGAAATAATAGTATTTTAATTATAATAGGTAGATAAAAGTAGTGTAATAACATTTTTGCCCTTACTTTTTTGGTATAAAAGTAATGATATGATGTTAAGTAAAGGTATTTGTGGGAAAATATAGAGTATTTAATGAAATAATTACTTTGTAATTGGACGTCCTAAAATAGAAACATGCATACTTTGTAACTTGACGGAGAGAGTATTTTTTTTGATCACACGAAGGAATTGAGATTCATTTTTTAACATGGTATCAAAGCCATGGATACAGTATTGGGTATTGATCCAGATTGAAATAAAAAAATGTGAAACTTCTTATTACTTATAAGGTGAAAGAGTTATTTCATTTAACATCAATTTGTTTGAACGGTCGTCATAGCTATTACACGGTTGAATGCTATATAATGTTATTCGAAATTAACAACTATGCTTTTCCGCCCGAAGGAAGTTAATTAAACACTTCGAACATGGCTAATAATGTTTTCTTATAGGTTCTTACCGAGCTACGGAGATTGGTTGAGCTGTACAAGAACGAGGAGATTAGCATAACTGTAACCGGACACAGCCTAGGCGCCGCGGTCTCAACACTGAATGCAGTCGACATAGTTGCCAACGGTCACAACAATGGCTGTCCGGTCGCTGTTTTCGCATTCGCCAGCCCTCGTGTAGGAGATGATCGATTTCACAAACTCGTGAACAACCTTAACAACCTTCACATCCTACGTGTAAGAAATGAGAAAGATGTGGTTCCTATGTACCCTGTAATAGGGTACGAAGAAGTGGGAGTAGAATTAGGAATGGACACAGAGAAGTCGAGATACCTTAAGGGGCCGGGGAACCTCAACAGTTGGCACAACCTGGAAGTTTATCTGCATGGAGTTGCCGGGACTCAGGGGAGCCGAGGAGGATTCGAGCTGGAAGTGGATCGAAGCGTGGCGTTGGTTAACAAACATATGGATGCATTGAAGGAGGAGTATTGTGTTCCGAGTTTTTGGTGGTGTGAGAAGAATAAAGGAATGGTTCAGCAGATAGATGGATCTTGGAAGCTCGAGGAAGACGATGATCAGGATCATTTTTGATCCAACCATCTTTCAAAATCACAACAAAATCATATATCTATATATACTTTATTTTTTTAAAATATATTTGTATGAAATTATTGTTTTATTATAAATTTATTAATCCATTTTATTTATATTTTCTTCTTAATTCGTTTGTTGTTATTGTATAGAAAAAAAAATAGAAGAAGACAACGGATCAGTGGTAAAAAATATGGTTTAGCCATCTAGAATTTAGGAGTTGGTTCAGACTTCAACTTTAAAAAAACTTTTTTGGCGTAGCAGACAATATATATTTGATGTAATATACAAATATTATATTTTTAATTGTTTATAATTTATAAAAATATATATATATATTTTGTGACAATAAAAAATGTAAAAAATAATTTATTTTAGCTGACTTATTTTATATAATAAATAATTATATTGTCTCTTGAAATCATAATTTAGTAATTGTACTACCTACTTGATTAATAAATACTCTTTCCAACTTACACTATTACATAAATGTCATTACTTTTATATCACACCATAATAAGTATTTTTTTCTTTTTCTTCTACTACAACCTAATATAATATTAATATTCAAAAATCTACTTGCAAAAAGTAAACGATAGCCTTTATACGGACAAAGTGAATATTTATTTTCTTACAAATATTAAGTTTGAAAAATATTTAAAAATAAAAAATAATATACATTTTAAATAAGCTCGTAGGTCAAACAAAACTTTAAATAAGCTCGTAGGTCAAACAAAACTTTAAAGTAGATCAAACCTAAGTCTTAGATATATATTTTAACAGATAGGCAAGGATCATACTTTAATTTTATAAAACAGATCTAGTCTATTTAGCTAAAGTCTGACCTAACCTGACATATTTCCACCCCTGATAAAATTGTCTATTAGTAGTACTATCCAATTAAATCAACTATTACTATTAGTTCTAATTTAATCTAAAAATATTGTTAATCTTGAATGTGCACAATATTGTGAATGTAAAATTGATTTTTAGTATAATATAAAAAAAAAAAAAAAAAAAAGTAAAAATTTAATTTGATATATTTAAGAAGAAAAATTTGTATGAATAGTAAAATTTGGATTGGATTGATTGCTTATTTAATTTGCATCAACTCATCGAATCAAGTGTCAAGGAGGATGGATTGGCTTCCAACTCAAACTCACTCACTCACTCACTCCACCACAAACAAACAAAGAACATCATATACAGCCTTGAGATTTAATTTGATTAACAACCCATGGATGAACAGATAGATGGATGGAGATGTGTACTAATTGTGTTCCAAGCAGAGTGACTATACCATTCTATACTTGCAATAAACTTTGTATTATGCCCAAAAATCCTAACACTGTGTGTGTGTGTGTGTGTGTCCTTGTAATGAGACAGACAGTTAAGTTAGAGACAAATCAAATGACTGATTCTATCCATAGGAAGGGAGGAGAAAGACTATAATGGCAGTAGTGTTGGTTCATATGATGAGTAAATTGGTAGTAAATTATATTCTTATTAGCACAAAGACTGGGTTTTTAGCACAGCAGTAAACTTACTAAAGATTCGATTCAACTAATACCCTGCCCTGCTGCTAACAGAACTGTGCAACTATAGAGCAAATCCACCGCGCATCCTACTCTTGATGGGCTGGTTTTCGCCGGAGGCTGAGGGTACACTGCACCGGGGAACATCAGTTATTACATGGAACTGGGGGTGGGGGTGGGGTGGGGACTACCATGTATATTGTAAGAAATGAACACAGAAAACCTAACATGATCAACGAAATTAAAAGTGTGTCTGGTGATGGCCCCATGATCTGCAGATTGTAATCAACAAGACTATAACACTATATCAGATATCCCACAAAGCATGTCTCAATTATTGAGCTCTCTATGTATGTTGTCCAAATGAAGACCGGCCCCTCGGCTAATCTTAGCATTTCTTCACAGACTACAACAACTGTTTTCGATGGATATGACAATAATTGATTATCATTAAAAATTACCAGCTATATAGATGGTCTAAACAAGAACAAGAACAAGAATTGGCAAAATCAGCAAAGGACACACAAGTTTATCATATTTACTAACACATTTCACCTCACAAAAAAGAAAGATATGACAATGCATCAAACAGCAGAATCCCAAATCTTGATTTGTAAAAAACCTTCACACAGTCATAAAAACAACAACACACTTACCACAGACTGGAAAAATCGAACAATCAGTCATGGCCATTTGCTCGGTTGACTGAATCGAGACCTTCAGTCCGGCTGCGCACAATCCGGTGGAAAACTTCCCTAATTTGGCGCTCCAAAGGATCGACTCCTTCCTTTATGGATTCGTGCACTTTCCTCACTTCCTCAACTCTATCCTTCAACTCTCCTTCCTTATCATCCGTCATTGGGTACTGGACATTATCGATCAGTTCATTCAAATGGCGCGCGCATATCTCAATCTCATGAATCTCCTTCAACAGCCCACAAGCATTTCTCCTGTCTCGCTTCTTCCACTCTTCCAAAATCCTCTCGTGAAGCGCCAGCATTGGGACAGCCCACGGGAACTGCTTTGTCAAATGGAAATGTGTTGGAAGCCCGCGATCTTGACAGGGGATTGCAGCAACAAGCGCCCATGTTACGAACAGAAGAACATAGCCCATTGTGAAAACAGCTAAACTTAGGCCATTGGTAGATGCGATTTCATTAGCCCGCGGAGCTACCAAGTTGCTGCTGATTGCTTGGAGCTGCCTAGCTGCAGACCAGTTCCTCGAAACACTCCAAGACAGTGACCTGAACTGTCCTAAAGTCCTCTGCTCCCTCTGCGTCGTATTGCGCCCAAAAGAACGGTTCCGGAAAGACATGTGGGCATGAGATTCTCTTTCATCGAGCATCCCAATGGCTAAATCATCGAGCGCCTTCTTCGCCCTCCGAAACTGCCCTTCCCCAATGCTCCTCTGATTGTCCAATGCACATAACACAATCTCTAGCAGCTTCCCCCACTGTCTTATTTGCTCGATCCCATCTCTAACTGCATTGCAAACATCCAAAGCCTTGACACTTCTCTCAAAGTATTCGGAGAGGCATCTCTCCATGGGGGGCTTGTTTAGATGAGGCCTGTTGTTGGAAAGAATTGCCCTAAATTCCTCTTGGCTACTGAGGAATGCTTCTAGAAGCTTCCGGAGCCATGGGATTGAGAGCAATTCATTTGAGTCGGCAGCAGCTAGACTGTGCAGGCGATCGGTGACTTGCTTCTGAAAAGCCTCCAGTTCTTGTTCCTGTCCGCTGGATTCCATCGAATGAACCTGATCACGGCGCCAGTTCAACATCGAAAATCGAAACCCTGATGATGATGACGATGATGATGCAATTCTGTTGTTCGCATCACACTCAGATTACAGAAAACAATAAAGTGCCCATCAAAACTAAAGAAATCATAACGTGAATCGACACTAAAAGCAGCCCAATTACACTTTCAAAAGACTAATACTACATAAACAAAAAGAATTGACAGCCAAGATATTCAGACAACGCCAGAAAAGAAAGTCGAACCAACAGGTAATTAATCATAAAATTGTCTCAGAGAAAAAAGAACCCATCTTATTCCCAAGAACGCAAGTTCATATCAAATCCAGACGCCAACAGCCAAGATCGAAGAATCACTGAAAATGCACAGAACACATTTCAAAAAACAAAGATCAAATTTCAACAACTGTTCCACATCCAACCAATCCCTTATCACACGCAACAAAGAAAAGCTCCCAGGATTCGAACTTTATGCTTCAAAAGAAAATCCCACCAATCTTTCGGACCAAAAAGGCAGAAAAGAGCGAAATCAAGGACACGACATGTCCCCGATTATGAGAATAGAATATGAAAACAATTTAAAGCGGGCGTCCTGAAACCCTAGAAAGGAGGAGAAGCTTATATTATAGAAACAAACATATTGCGGGAGGGTGGGTGATTAAGACCGCGTAAAATATGGTTTGTTGGGACAAACCTGACTTTTCATAAAATCGACGAAATTCTCATTGTAGACTGTAATAATTCTTGGTTTTGTATTAGTTTTATAGATTAGGACGCACAAGGGTGTTCTGCAGTGAAAAGTGGAAATATTGGGGAGGAAAAAGTGAAAAGTAGCATTTGTTTATTTATACACGCTATATGCCGCGATCTGTACACGCATGCTCCTTTTATTTGCACAGCCAGTCCCTCAAAGCTCTGAAAATAGCTCGAGCAACACATTTCATGATCTTAATTTTTAATTTTAAAAAAAATCTGATGCTTTCAGGTCATTATTATCCTGATTAGTTAATTAATGTGTTGTATTGTGTCATGTTTGATAGTTGTCGAAATTCTAACATGTATTATTTGTTATTATATTTAACTTATACAATATATATATATATATATGTAATAATACCATGTGCGGTCAAACAACACAGTGCTGTAGCTGCCGCCTAGTAGATTAAGGATGTGTTTCCTTTGCACCAAATCTTCTGATTTTATTCATTTCTAAAAAAATACATATTTTTTTATATATTATACACATTTCTTATTTTTATATTACTGCTTCAATTTTCTTAAAAAAAAAAAAGATCTCTTTAAATTATTTCCCATAACAAACACACCCTAAATATTATTCTTCTACATTTCACAACCACTTAGGTAAAATGTAGCATAGTTTCAATTTTATCAAAGCTGAAATAAGATTCCTTCATTTAATGAAATACCAATAACGAGTACTAAATATCAGAATGTGTTATATATCATGAGACTAGCAGCAAAATCAAAGCATGAAAACTCATTACCAACTTTCCACCACTCTTTGATCCATCTAATACATTAATGGTTGACCTTTCCTGTTGAATATCTACAAACCAATAAAAGGTCTTGACAGAGTTCCTCCAAAGTTTCATTCTTGTGAGTTAAGAAGAAGTTGTAAATGTCACAGAACCAATGAAGGGACAAGATCTGGCCCTCCTTCACTAAAGTCAAATGAAATCTTTAATGGCCTCTGCATAAAATGGTTATAACAACAGGAAGTGGGGTCTAAAATTTCAATTATAAAAAAATTATTATGATCAACTATTGAATGAATACAAGAGGGCCCCAAATTTTCTTGCCCTGAAATGTGGAAGAATGGGCTTTGAAATTTGTGTGTGAAATCACATTTCCACAGATATATGGTCACCAATCAGCAAAGGGAGAAGATGTAGAGAATCTTTTGGTTAAGTAGGGCTCAATTTCATAAACTAGAATATAAGGAATACATACCTGACAAAGAAGACATCACTATTTATGGATCCTATCCACTTATCAACTATAGGATCTTGTCCAAATGCAATGGCACACCGTCAAATGTGAGGTGATAATTGGCAAACCACTAGATAAGAGTTACACATTCTTACACACAACTATGGCCATCTTCAGCTAAAACTGACAAGTCTTATTCACAAAAGTTGGCTAAAACAATATATTATAAAATTATTAATTAAAAAATATATATATATATTAGATATATACATTAAAAAATATCATCCATATCCAAATAAGCAACGAGCTTGCGAATACAAACACAACCTCAAAAAATGAAATTCCTTTTACAAAACGGAATTCAAACACTACAAACAAACTCAAATGCATAACAAACTCGAACCTTACGCAAGAATATTAATTATCAAATACAAACACTTAAAATTATGTTAACAAATTCACTATATTTGTTTTATGCATCTCAAACAACATTTGGCATTGAGTAAAATGGCAAAAAAAATATAAAATCACATGTTCTACTCAGGACTACTCTGCCAACAGTTTTTACACACAGCAATATTTATTGATGCAAATAAAAAGCTCGTGCTTAAGTTCATGTCTATCTGAAAATTTTTCAACAGGTAGACATATATATTTATGTATATACTGTGAAAATTGAAACTAACACCACACTAATTAACCATGTGACTAAAACATTGTTATCAAGACAATGTCCACATAAGTAAAGTCACAAATTGCAATAGTAGCCCTCAGAACCACAGGCATTTGGTATCATTTGGTTATTCCATCAAAGCCAATCCCACCAACATTACATTAAACTGTGGAGAGTGGCAATGGCAGTAGCAGCAGCAGCAGCAGAAGCAACAACAACAATAATAATATTGAGTGATGATGATGATGATGATGATGATGATGAAGATAGCAGTGGTGGGAGGCTAACAATGGAAATTAAACCCAAACTACCATAATAACCATGGGTTTTCCATCATTGGGCATCAAAAACGTTTTCGAGTTTAACTTAATTACAGAAAGAGGCTATAAAATAGAGAGAAGAAGCAAATCCGATCATACTAGTTCAGAGAGATCCCACCAAATGAAGACAGTCGTAATATAACGAATAATGCCATGAAAATTACACACTAGAAATCAAACACGCAAATCTGAAGCCCTCAGATCTCATAGCTTTTAAGCAATCACAAGCAGCCGACGGAAAAGATTCAGCGGAGGCCTGACACAAAGCACAAACAACAAGCCACGGCCGCCGCGTGCAAGTGTGAATATTAGTGTGATGAACAGAGCCGGCGGCCGCGGCTTATTCCGGCAGCAGCGCAGGCCAGTGATGAATCCAAAACCGACTCGCTGACTTCAATAATTAAAGATTTTCCATCATCGGGCGATTTCTCCAACAAAAATGATTCCAATAAAACCACAACAAATCCAGAATACGAACGATAAACAACACTGAGATGGATAAAAATCCCGCAGAGAATCCGCCGCTATAAATCAGAAGGCGGACCAGTTGCTAGGGTTTCACTCTGCGGGTATTTCACATTTCACAATGGGGAATGAAAGTGGGCTAACAATAATTCTTCTATTTACGGCCCACTAATAATCTGGGCCTGTATTTACGAAATTACCCCTGCGTTATAACAAATCCCATGTTTGGTGGTTGATTTTTTGTTTGAGTTTTGGATTTTTTGAAGTTTTGATATAAGAATGAACCTGTTGAGTTTCCACTGGATCGGATTGTTGGGTTGTCCTACAATTAATAAAATTCTAAAATTATGAGAAAAATAAATCAATGAATCATAATAATAAAATCTGAAGAATATAAGAAATAATATTGTAAAATTCATAAACTAAGAGTAAAGTATTTGAATTTATATCTCGATGGGTTTATCCAACAATATCTCGTAAAAATATTACGATTTAATTAGTAAAAAAGAATTTGAATGAAGCCGAAATGATATTAACACGATCGAAATTGAAATTACACTAAGGGTGTGTTTGTTTGGGGGTTTGGATTTTGAGTTGGGATTTGAATAGTAAAAATTTTGAATTTGAATAGTTGTATGATGTGATATAAATAGGTGATGATGTGATGTTTTGAATGTAAAATTGATTTTTAATGTAATATAAAAAAAAAAAAAAATAGGTGTTTGATTTGATGTTTTTTTGGGGAAAATTTTGGATAAATAGTGAGATTTGGACCAAATCTCTCAACCGAACACACCCTAAATAAAAGGTAAAATTAACAAATTTAAAAATTAGGAAATGAAATTGGATTGATAGGAAATAGCAAAAAGGCTTCTTGTTTGTGAATTCCAAATTAGACCCGAATACTTATCTCAAGATTCACCGTTGTGGCAGATCCGATTTTAGATCATAACGAAAAGGCCCTTGCCTAGAGTCCAAAATTAAATAGGAGCTTATATTATATATATATATATAACAGAACTTATGCTTTAAAAATAAATTACATGAACCAAAGAACGGAAAGTAAAAAAGAATTAAGGTATGGCACGAGTCTATGAATGAAAATATGGATTCACATCGGTTGCGGGTTCCCACGTTATTAAAAAAAAAAATGGATTCACACAAGCGTGTTCCGATATTATATCCAAGTTGGGGAAGTCTTTCTTCTTTAAATACACCCCTACCTTTGTAAATATATCTGATCTTCTAAAATACGTCTAGTCATTTCTAAATATATTTCAAAATATATAGTCTTCTAATAAAATAAAATAAAAATAATATTTTAATTATTTGGAGGAGCCTCTTCTTTGGTAAAATACGCCAGGCCTTTTAAATATATTTGAAAATATATCTCGTCTTTTAAAATCATTAACACGCTCCTACTTTGTAAATCATATTTAAAGATGCGCCCAGACATCTGTAAAATAAATCCGGTAGCGCCCTGCCTTCTGAAAAATAAATCTAACAGCGCTAGGACTGTCTAAAATATATTTGAACCCCCGCCTTCTGAAAAATAAAACTGACAACGCCCGAACTATCTAAAATATATCTGGAAATGACCATCTTATTAAGACACGCCCAGGCCTTTGTAAAATTTCTGATGCCGGGACCTCCTCAAATACACGCCTAAATCTCCTCAAATACTTGTCCATCCTTCTTCAATCATCGGACACTCCTGCACACTTATCACAACATTGTGCCTTCTATCCCGACCGCTTCTGCATCTGCCTGGATAACTTTCGCATTGGTGGAAATGACTTTCGCATCAATCTAGGCGACTCCTGCAATACCCCGGGCAACTTCTGCAGTAATCCGAGTGATTTATATATTAGTTTCGACAACTTCTGCATCAGTCCAAGCGACTTCTACATTAGTTTGGGCGTCATATGCATCTCTTCAGACACCATCTGTATCGGCACCAAATCCTCTATTCCCAAACTCTCTTATTCCCTTCATTCCAACAAATAAAAATATGACACATGGAGGAGGAGAGAGAAAAAAAACATAAGAATGAGTAGATATGCATATGATTTAAAATATTATATTTTTAAAAAATTATTTTTATAATATTAATTTTCTTTCCTTAAAATTAATTATATTCAAATTATTTTTTAATTTTTATTATTATATTATTCAATTGTAAAATATATATATATTTTTAAATATTACCGTAAAATATCATTTAAAAATATAATTTTATGAATAAAATAGTATTACACAAGTTACTATTTAAATTATTTTTTATATAATATTTAAAATTTTAAAATATATATGTAATACTATGATATTTTATAAAAAAATAATATAAAAAGAAAAAATATAAAAGAAATAAAAGAATATATTTTTTAATAGTATAAAATAATGATAAATTAATATCATAATGAAAATAAAAATTAATTTTGTAGATAGTTTATATTTTTACTTTTAAATAAATAAAATTGATAAATAACAAAAATATAATTTAAAAATAAAAGA